GACCAGTGATGGCGAACCTGTGACACGCGTGTCAGAGGTGACATGCGAACTCATTATTTTGGTTGATTTTTCTTTGTTAAATGGCATTTAAATATATAAAATAAATATAAAAAATATAAGTCTTTGTTTTACTATGGTTGAAAATATAAAACAATCTCTATATGTGACATGGCACCAGAGTTAAGTTAGGGTTTTTCAAAATGCTGACACGCCGAGCTCAAAAGGTTCGCCATCACTGGCCTAGACCCTGAGCAGCCAGGCGGCGGAAGCTCCCTCCGAGCCGGCCGCCGACCTTCCGATGCTCTCACCCCGGGAACGGGCATCTCTCCTGGGGCTGCTCTCTGGGTGGGCCGTGCCCCGACTTCACACGAAAACCACTGCCTCTCATTGGACATGAAAACCTGCACCTCCCTGAGGCTTCTCCATGCCCGTGGCCGTCCCTCCATGAGCCGGGGACCAGGTGATCCAATCCACATCCCCACTGCAGCCCTGCCGTCTTGCCCCTGGCTCCCACGCTCTCCCGAGGCTCCTCGCCCACGCTGTGCTCCCTGTATTCCCATGGCCACGGCCTGGAGGCGAAGGTGGGAAGGCAGACTGTCCCTGGCCTACAAACGTGAGAAGAGAAAGATTTCCCCTAGAAATGGGGTCAGCTAACGTGTTCTGTAAAGGTCCAGGCAGTAACTGTGTTAGGCTTTGCAGGCCATACCGTCTCTGCTGTAACTAGTTATGTAGCCACAGTGCTTCATAACAAGGGAGTGTGGCTGTGTTCCAATAAAACTTTATTTACAAAACAGGCTGCCTTTGGCCTGAAGGCTGCAGTTTGTGGCCCCTGTCCTAGACCACCCCTAAAACAGCCTGGCTCCTCTCCGTGGGCCCAGCGCTCGGTTCGCACCTCCCACGCTGCGCTCTGGAAATGTACCCTGTTGACCTGTCTATGGCCCCCGTGGCTCCTGGGACAGAGACTCTGTGTCCCTGGTGGCAGCACAGTACAGGTTTCCAGTATCTATTTGGGGAGAAAGTGTGTGTGTGGCGAAGGGGGAGATGATGTTTCCAGCAGGCAACCCTCACGGAGCTTTCCAGCCTCTTGGCGAAGAGCTGCAGGGTCCACGTGGGAAAAGAAGTCTGTGCTGCCGACAAGCAGCACCAGAAGCACCATTGTAAGCAGCCTGGCTTACAATGTCAGTCCTTGTTACAGTGCAAACCCATGGATACGTTTTGACGTCAGGGCTACACCCCAGAAAGCAGCGCCCCAGAACCTCCCGCAGACAGGCTGCTCCCGCCCTCTGGGGAGCCCTGCCCGTCACAGCCCCACCACCATTCCCTTCGGCCTCCTTCTGTGAGGAGGAGAGACCCTGCAGCCAGCCAGAGAGGAAACCTAAGTGTCCCTGTAGGCCTGTGCAGCACCATTAGGTGACGTCAACGGCTCAGGGCATCTGGGCTCTGTGTTTTCACTGTTCTCAGAACAGCGGCTAATTCATGGCAGTAATGACGTTTCTATTTAGAGCCTCAGAAAATAAGAGGTGGTCCCTCTATGCTGCACTCTGAGTCTTGTACGGGTTTGCCTGCTTTCCCTGTGAAGCAGGGAGCTTACAGGTGGCAGGAGGAATGCAATTCCACTCAAGCTAACCAACAGTCTGAGGGCCTACTATGTGCCAGGCAGCATGTGCAAACAAAGACAAGCACATCCCAGGGACCCCACAGGGAAAGAGAGGGCATTCAGGCACCCAAATAGCCATGATGATGGTGGGAATGATGCACAGCAAAGCAGGTACTTTGGGGCTTGAGGATGGAGATGTTTCTTGGCGGGACCATGAAGGCCTGGATAATTTGGGCACATGAAACTGCAGGGAGCCTGGGCACAGGGAGAGTGGGCGGCCCATTCATCAGGTGAGAAAGAGAGGAGGGAGAAGGAGAGGGCTCGGCTGCCGACATGAATTGTACTTGGCCCTTTCTGGCAGGGACATTCTGTAGCGCAGCTTCACCGCCAGGCAGGTGGGTGTGCGGGGCTTGGCTTCAGTAGTTTGTCTGTAAAGAGCCACCACGATTTCCTGTGCTTCTCCCTCTTCCTGGGTCACCTCCCACATGATCCCATTCCTCCTCCTGGGATGTCTAAACTTTGCTGTGGACAGGATTTTTTTTTTCCTATGAAAGTTAATTCCCTTCCTTTTCCCAGAGGTCTCCAAGGCCTTGCCTCTTTGCGTGACTTTGTGAAAATTTCCTGGTTCCAGATAAAATTCTTAGTGCTTAAGAAGGCATTTTTATGTTGCACTAAATTTTATGAAAAAGCACATGATTACTTTGGCTATTCTAGAATATTTTACTAGAATAGCCAAATGAATCTTGAGGAGGAAGAATAAAGCTGGAGGCATCATACTTCCCGATTTCAAGCTATATTACAAAACTATAGAATCAAAACAGTATGGTATTGGCATAAAAACACAGAAATCAATGGAAAAGAATAGAGTGCCCATAAGTAAACCCACATATATATGATCAATTAATTTATGACAAAGGAGCCAAGAATATGCAATGGAGAAAAGTAGTCTCTTCAATAAATCATGTTGGGAAAATTGGTCAGCCACATGCAAAAGAATGAAACTGGACCACTATCTTAACCATACACAAAGTCAACTCCAATGGATTAAAGACTTGAACATAAGACCTGAAACTATAAAACTCATAGAAGAAAACACAGAACAGAAACTCCTTTACATTGGTCTCGGTGATGATTTTTTTGAATGTGATACCCAAATCACAGACAAAAGCGAAAATAAAGAAATGGGACTACACCAAACTAAAAAGCCTCTGCACAGCAAAGGAAACCATCAACAAAATGAAAAGAAAATCTACTACCACATGGGGAAAAATTTTTCAAATCATTTATCTGGTAAAGGGTTAATAGACAAAGTATGTATAAAAAAAAACTCATAAAACTCAATAGCAAAAATAAAGCCCCAAACAATCTGATTAAACAATGGCCAGAGGATCTGAATACAGCTGACCCTTGAGCAACAAAGGGGTTAGAAGTGCCACCACCTGCACAGTGAAAAACTTATGTATAAATTAAACCAGACCCCCCGACATACGTGCATTCCCAACCAGAGGTGAAAAAACATTAGACATTTTTCCTCAAAGACATACAAATGGCCAACCGGTATATGAAAAGGTGTTCCACACCACTGATCATCAGGCAAATGCAAATGAAAACTACGAGATACCAACTCATACCCGTTAAAATGGCTACTAAGACACTTCTTGTCAAAAGGACAAGAAATAACAAGTGCTGGCGAGGATGTGGGGAAACGGTAGCTGTTGGTAAGAATATAAGTTGGTGCAGCCACTACAGGAAACAATAGGGAGGTTCCTCAAAAAGTTAAAAATAGAACTACGATATGATCCACCAATTCCACTGCTGGGGATTTATCCAAAGGAAACGGTAAATGTTCATCGCAGCATGACTTACAATATCAAAGACACAGAAATAACCCAAGTGTCCGCCAACAGATGACTAAAGAAAACGTAGTATATATATGTGCATACACACCCACACATACACAGCGAGTCCTCACTTAACATTGCTGATATGTTCTGCAACTTTAACAGGAACAACATCTAACAAAACAAATTTTACCATCGGCTAATTGAGAGAAACAGCAGTTAAGCTCCTGTGGTGTCTCAGCAACATTATCATGAAACAACGTTGAACAAAACAACATTATTCAAGGACCTGTATACATAATAAATATTATTTTGCCATAACATAGAAGGAAATCTTGCCACTTGCAACAACATGGATGGACATTGAGGACTAAGTGAAATAAGTCACAGAAAGACAAATAACATATAACTTACATGTGGAATCTAAAAAAAATAAAAAACTGAACTCATAGATACAGAGAATAGATTGGTGGTTTCCAGAGGTGGGTGGCGGATGAAATGGGTGAAGATCAGAAGGTACAAACTTCGAGAGTAGGTATTTAAAGTTCTCATCACAGAATAAAATTTGTAACTACACGTGGTGAAAATCGCTAACTAGGGGATCATTCCGCAATCTACTCAAATTTCCACGGGGACCTTCAGTGGGGCCGGTCTCCAACTGACAGCCCTGCGCAGGCTCCTTGCTCAGCCCCACTTCCCTTTGGGGAACCCCCTCCGCACTGGGAGGAGCCCAGGCATCTTTGGGTCCTGGGGTCCCCACTTTACTTCTTTGCCTGGCCAGGCTTCACCTTCTGATCCCACATTTGACAAGCCCCCAACACGTCCCACTAAAGTGGATTATGCCCCGAAGTCCTTCATTTCCTTTAGCTATATGGTCCCTCCTTTTAAAGTCCTCATCGATGTCAAAGGCTACATTGTATGTTTCCAAAACTAGATAATGAGTGATTGTTGAGTATTTTTCAATCAACAAACTTTAAAGCATGAAGTGAAAATACACATAATCCAGGATTAGAAGCATAAATCAAAAAGAAAAAAATACCAATGTTGTCCTCTATGATAAAGGTCTCTACAAAGGAAGGTTCTTAAAAAAGCAACTGATTAAAATTCTTTTACTGCAGGAGAACACTCAAATGGATTGTTCTGCATGATGTAATGGTTTTTTAAAAAAAATCACAGTACTAACTTGGAATGATTCTTGTTTTTGATATAAACTTGTAGGGGTGAAATGTTCAAACGCAGAGATACTTTTTATTTGCTTAAGAAATTAAGATAGAAAAACAGAACAGTCTTTACTTGGAGGAAGGATTTTTTGCCTTCACAAAAGGTATTAGTCTCGAGTTGCACAGCCAAGTGTTAATCCTAACTGATGCGCATCACTAAGACGGTAGCACAGGCTTGCAGGGGAATATTTTTTACTATCTGCCAAAGGAGCCTAATTTTCCCCAAAACCTTCTTAATTGGCAACGACAATAAGAAATGGAGAAAGACAAGCAGAGAGCAGTGGTGAGAATGTAATGCATGGTCAAGCTGACAGAGCAAATGAAGCAAGCTGGGTACCGTACCTGCTTATTATTGTCAGTGGTACAACACAGTTTCTTGAGGGAGACAAAATGCCTAATTTTCCTAATAACATAAATAATTAGTTATTAGTGAGTCAGATATAAGATGATTCAACAAATCAGCAAAGGAAAACATCAACAGAAACTTTTTAAAGCAAAACTCCAGGGTCTATTCTAGGGCAGATGTACAATTCAGACAAAACCCAGTCTACAGAAAATGCATTTTCACACACAGCCCACACACGCCTTCCGAAACGGGCTTCCCTTTTAATCACCGCTGGCTCCGAGACATTTTCCGAATGAGCATTTCATTTTGTGACTGACTCCTGAAGCTTGGCTCCTCCGTATCTGCCGTGATAGGATGAAATGCCACTCCAGAAAAAATTGGCTTTATTCTGCTGACGCTATTACTTTTATAGCTTATATAGAAAGCAAAAGATTCATTTGGACAATGATCAAATTTCAGGGCAGCTATTTTTATATTTAATTCCATATTCCTGCACAGCATGGTCATCATAACAATGGCATTTTTTGGGCAGAGAAAAATCCTCTTACTTCAAGGTCATGGACAGAATCCCACAACAGCCTGCGGTCTTGCTCATTACCATGGAACAGACCAGGAGAAGACCACAGGTGCCTCAGCCCTGCACAGACTTCAGTTCAGGGTAGATTTTCTACAGAGAGTGAAGCCAGGAATCCCAGAGGTCTGTGTTAGATGTCACAGCAGTGAGACTCCTCTCCTCTCCTCCCTCCCTGTCTCTGTCTCTGTCTCTGTCTCTCTCTCTCTCTCTTTCTCTCTCTCTCTTTGATTTAGTTTTCTCTGGAGAACTCTGAGGAGAGCATAGAAAACGCTGGTTATCCTGTAATGAATGTCATAAAACAGGAAGAGGTAAAAATATCTCCCTACTTTTAATAAGAATTTCCTCTGACAGTTCACTGCCTACAATGGGGTGGGGGGTGGGGGGTCGGAATGACACTGTCTGGACAAAAGAACGTCTCTTTCTTATCTGTAAAATCAGAAAGATCAGAAAACCTCATTCTGACAGACATTACCAAGCAGTGGCATGTCTCCTCGGCCTTGGTTACCTAATAATCCTGGTCACACACACACAAAGTGGATGTTAGCTTCAATTTTCTGAAAGAAGGCATAAGGATGATGGTAACAACAGGGACTCCTGGGAGCGCCACAGAGGACCGTGGGCTCAGGAGAACGTCCGGGGGCCTCTCTCTGCGGTCAGGGGGGGCCACGGATTGCCCGTCACCCCACCGCCCATGCTGAAGCACGAAGGCAGGAAGCACGAGGTGGTGGTCTCTGAACTGAGGGGAGCACTTTGGAAACTAACCCAGGAAATTGGAGGGGAGACAACCTGGTGACACTTTGCTGACTTTATAGACTGTCGTTGTCTAGTCGCACGACAAGTTGCAAGGGACCGGGGCAGTCAGAGGGGCACAAGCAGGACTCGCCTCTCTCTTATTGGCACAACTGCCACCTTTCCTTTTCCCAAAACTTCACACAACGGTGTGCGTCCGTTAGACTCCGAAGCTGGTGCGACCTCCAGGCTGGCTTCCTCAGGGACATGCTGGTGGGGGAGCCAGTTTGGCTTCGTAAACCTCACAGAATTCAACTGGGGGGAGGAAAGGAATCGCGTATTCGACTTATCTCTCCACAGTGATAAGGCTTCTCTGGTAATCTGAGATTAAATGGAATCAGATCAACCTCAGCTTTGGATCAGACACATCTTTCTCTCTGAAACCATGACCCCCAGGCCTTTATCCCGAGTTGGAGCAGCCCTGAGCCGGCCGGAGAAAGCCAGCCCAGGCCGGTGCCCCAGGGAGAGCAGCCCGCTCCCAGGGGTTTTGCTGTTGATGTGAAAGTGGACAGCCTAGCACCGAGCTCCCTCAGAGGGCAGTGGGCAGAGGGAACCACAGATGCTCAGGTGGAGGGGCTACTGGGTGATGCTCCATAAAGACCATAAGCAGGAGAAGACAGAGAGCCATGTCTGGGGGTTGCTACCAGATGCATGGAGGTGGCCTTGGCATACCTATGTACAGCCCAGCCCTCCTGTGCTTGTGGGTCTAATGCTTACCCTGCAGTTCAATATGCCCACGCGGCCCTCAACTGAAAGAGTTCAAGAGTTTGCGCTCACCCTCCTTGGCCAATCACTGGGGTGATCTTCACGTGCTGTTGGATGCTGTCCCCGGACTTCCGCTTGGCGTAGTAAACCCCTTGCCACTCCTACGTGGAGAAAGAGAGCTCTTAAAGGCTTTCTGTGGAGGCCAGCAGCTGCTCCTACAGGGGGTCTTATCCAACTGAGCCACTAATTCCCACGCGCTTTCAGTACATTCCACAGAACACCACTCCATTCTCGCTCCCGCAGCGATGCTGCCTGTGTAAGGCGCATGGTCACAAGGCATGAACACAATAGGACCAACACAGCCACCACCAGGCTGCCCTCCTGGGCCCCAGGACGCCTGACCTGTGGGAGGAGCTCCTGCTCAGCCCTACGGGTGTAGTGACACCAGGTCAAGGGATTTTTCCGAGGTCTTCCTCAAAATCGTCCCAACAACCTGAGTCTGAAATTATCCTTCATTGACAGATGGGCAAACTGAGGCTGGGAGATTCTAACTACTGTGCCCATGTGAGAAAGTGGGGGATGTGGCAATGAAACCCTCCACCTGTCCACTATCTATGGGGCCTCCAGCCACGACTTCTCTGGGTTAGTCTGGCTCCTGGCAGTTTCCATGGAAGAGGCAAACGGGGGTGTGGAGATCCTGCTGTCTTTGGACCTTGGGGAACTGGCTGGGATGAAGAACCTGGTGACCTCAAGGGGGGACCTGTGGCACCTCTGCAATTTCTGGGAGGAGTGGTTACGTCCGAAGCTGGGCCTTTTCTCTGCAGCCTTTTCCTGCGCG